ATTTATTTGGATTTAAGCTTATTAATGAAAATATAAAGAGAAGTTCTGGAGCTTTTGAGTACACATACACAGGCTATTGTAATACAGTACATGTACATGAAATTTGTTAGTGTGCATACATGTATCCTCTTATTATTATTATGCTCACACTGAATGATAATTTGTAAGTTTATAAGTATATTAACAACGTAATATCTATTTAAACTATCTCTCTCTTAATCTCCATTTGTTTAAAAGTGGATTAATTTTTAATTATTGTAATGGACCATGCAATGACTGCACTGAACCATCCTACCTAATATGTCAATAATTATACTAAAATATAAAACAGTTCAAATAATACATATACGGAAGTAATACTTCCGTTATGTATGGCAAAAAAATTAATGAGCCTCACTTATTTCAGTAAGTTGCTTCGTACAGTAGAAGGCAGAAAAGTAGTGATAGCAATGATCATATGAGTAAAAAGACAAGGCTGTGTTCACTTCGGCCGCTTCACTGGAGAAAAGACAGTTAAATTATGGAAAGACAATGAAAGTTAAAAGTAAAAACTGTAATTAATTAATGATTAGAGAGAAGGGAGGGATAGAGATGAATCAGTGAAGAGTTGAAGTTGACATAGCATAACATTTGCAACATGGACACTTAAAATGGAAAGAGTAGGGTCGTGAAGGATCAAAATTTGCTTTCAAAATTTTTCAAAGGATATATTTACGACTTTAGAGTATTATAAGAGAGGGGGAGATTGAGAGGTGGTAATTTGTTCCACAGTGGTGGTAATTTGTTCCACAGTGGTGGTAATCAATAGAAATAGAAGAACCTTGTAGTGTACTAGTGTCATTTGGAGTGTACTGGTGTTTTAGTTTACCACAGGACACTGATCTCGTAGTTTTACTGTTAGTGGAGCAAAAAGAGACATAATCAAAAATACTGAAGTTGGGTGATGACTTCCTTTGCATCCCTGGATCTAGGTAAAGGAAATAGCAGCATAAATTAGCCATGCTCATAGCTAGGGAAGCCTGCCAGTGCCAGATGAGTCATATCTATGGAAGAGTTTATAAATGAATGACAAAGTGAATATACGGATTACGGAAGTAATTACAGGTATGACGCATGCTGTGACGTCATGTGAAGCCACTATATAAAGGCTGGGCCGCCCCGGCTCCTAATCACTCCTTCGTCGGCTCGCTCAATCGTTCAAAGCTCTCGGCTAAGTGGCTTGTCACTTTGTACTGTTGTTGTACCTATTGTACTCTACCCTAATATACTGGGTCTACCTCCAGTCACTGTACCTGTATATTGTTACATCAATTCAAAGGTAAGTCCACTCTATGCAGACTGCAGTCATGTAATGGGCTATATAAATACTAAAGTCTAGTATAAATTTAGTGCAAAATCAAGTTAAAATCACTTGTAAAATATTCCTTAATACCTTCTACTTAAGCAAAGAGAGATAGAGATGGGTTAGGAATTACTGTAAAACACCAATCACTATCTACTGACAGAATTTTGTCATAGCATAGTATTAATGATCCATATAGTTCAGGTACACCTACACTCACTTCCATTTTACTCTTTACCATTAGTCACCCTTGGATAAAGGAACTAATCATCTGTAACAACTACTCATCTGTATCAACTACTCATCTGTATCAACTACTCATCTGTAACAACTACTCATCTGTATCGTCATTTATAATAATAATAATAATAATAATAATAATAATAATAATAATAATAATAATAATAATACAAGATGA